CTTATTCGTACAAAATACGATTATTCTGATGGATATACCACTACAAAAATATAAGATGGAATTTACGAGACATTCTGAACAACTTAATAAAAATCATGAACTTAGGAATACAGGAAGAAGAATACGGGCCGGAGCACATCTACATAACGCATAATGCATTACGCATAAGAAAATGAACCAATCAGAATCTTTCATTTCCATTATGAGGGTAGAAATGGAGGACTATGATTGGTTCATTTTTTTATGCGTTATGCATTAAGCTGCGATTTCACGTAGATATACAAATCCAAATATTTCTCCCACTCCCATCAGAATAGTTGAAAACAGAGCGCGAGAAAATCCAGATATCAAGGGTGAGGTCCAATCGAACACATTGCCGATTAAATAAAAAAATTTTTGATAGGTGGCTCACTAGAAAATTCCTAGGCATCGGCTGATGTGAGTGGTGTGTCCGATTGAAAATGTGCGCATCTGGGACACTCCCGATATCAATATTTCGCCGCTAACTTCCCCTAGTGTCTTTTTCATGTAGCGTGAAATATCCAGATATTGGATTTGAAATACGGAATATTGACAGTTAACCAACGCTGCATTTGTAGATCTCATGAGTACAAAATTTGTGTATTGTAATCGAGAAATACTTATTTTTTAAGAGATTGAAAAATTAAAAAAGTGATTTATATAATTTTCAGTTTGGTACTTTGGAATGGAGAGCAATATAAATTTGTGTGACGAGCATTCAGCGGAAATATGCGGTAATGCGGCCTTGCAAATAATAACAGAACAAATTAGACGACGACGTATTGCTGCAATGGGATTCTAAAAAAAATTGCAAAAAAGAGAATGTACAATAAAAACGATATTGGATAGCCAATAAAAGTAGTCATCTTAATAATCTTATAGTCTTAACAGTTTTATAGTCTTAATAGTCTTATTTAATCGTCATCTATTCATATTTTTATATTTTTATATACTAACTTCGTTAAATTCTCCATCAATCTCCATTTCGAAACCTCGCGCTCATATATCCAATGGATATATCTCGTAGATGGAAAAATCGAATTATCGGCGATCATAATCGAATAAGAAGAAATATTGGTGGAGGGGGAAATATTTGGATATGCATACTACGTGAAATCGCAGCTTTATGCAGAAATGTATGCTACGGCCCTTATGACATAGAGTGCTAATTGGTGAAAAATAAGTGATGAGAGTAAATAGTACTTAGGGTGACATCCTATGGACGTGGAACGTGCGCAATGCGAAATTGACGCAACGCTCATGATTGGTCCGACAAACGTTCCGTTAATTTCGTTTTACTGAAATGTATTCCCTTATGTCTCATGGAATGAAAGACGCGGAAAGACGCAATTGTCGTTTGTCAATCGCAATATTTTTCTCCTAGAGTCTTCTGTTATGTTTATCGAAATCAGTGTATATTATTAGCTCATATAGATTACGTACTCGCGTTTTCCGTCTCATAGAACTTAAGACCATATCAGACTAGCGATTGGATCCGGCTACTTGCCGGTTGGCGATTCTACTTATTACCTACTTATTACCAATCACATTGACCGTAACCAAGACCTGTTACATATGGATACGATTTACAAGTTTGAATATTAAAGCAAAATCAAAATGTTCAACATTATATTTAATATATCAGGCACTTGCATGAGTATAGTCGAAAGCAATGAAAGTATTGCAACAAATTTGTAACTTAATAATCGTATTTTAATATTATTCTGCAATTATTGTTCTTTGAACTTTGCATTATTTGTATTCTTAACCCAAAGAAGTATAATCTATGATAACTTGTGTAATAGAGCGAAAGAAATATAGAGCTTGATTTCTTGTGAGATCCGTTTAATTTAATTTAAAAACTACTCTACAAAAAGCTAGTTCGAGTATTCAAATTTTTAATAAAAAAGATCTAACAAAATGATTATAACATTTTATAATTCTTCGTCCAAGTTGAAATCTTCCTCAGGAAAATCTCCAACTTTTACATACATTGGCTTCACGAATCCGCCGTATTTTGGGGCACATTCGAAATATCTTTTACCCCCGACACTGTCGACAATATAAAAAACATAAGAAAAATATCTAGATATTAGATAATTGAATGAAACTAGATATTTACCTTCCATCATTCTTACCAAGAGGCTCATCATATTTAACACCAATCCACCAACCTTCTTTGAATTCAGTTTTACCTAATAATGACATTTATATAAAGAATAAAAAAGATTCTTAGAATAAAACATGACTGCGAACATATTAGAATTTTACTGACCAACGTATAAGATTGTAGCTCTTCGCCTTGGCTGATTTGGAATTGATATCTCACAGCGATCTCCAACTTTGCATAAACCAGCTAGACTTTCTTCTGCTTCTTCCTCTAATTTCTTTTCCTCTGCTTTTTTTTTCATGTCCTTCTCATTATACTTTCCTAATTTGTTTTTTTCCAGGAATGCCTTAACAGTATCTGCCCAAGAATAAATAGAATATATTTTAATAGAATATATTGCAATTCGACATAAAATATAAAAGTCTTACCTGTCTTCTTAGCATATTCTTCCTCAGATATTTCGAACTTTTTCACATGACTTAAATCTTCTGTGGTGCATGAGAAATTATCAATGACCTATAATTTTGTTTTATTTTATTCACAATCATAATTTTGCAATTATAGAGCATTGCTTTAAAGCAGTTTTAAACGCAAGATTTCGTGTCTACATACTTACATGTATTCTCATCTCATCATCGATTGGATACGATCCCAAGAGACGTTGTCCTTCTTCCAATCTGCATACGAACTTATCATTTTTATCGTAAACCTCAACTGTCATTGTAGCTGGATTACCACCCGTAAGAAGCTCCAATTTTCCCTATATTATTTTTATATAATAGATAGATTTTTGTGGTATACTACTATTTAGATAGAAAAAGGAGTTTTACCTTGAATTCATCGATAGTTATACTCTTCTGAAATCGACGCTCAATACAACTTGACTCCTGACCAGAATTTGTGATTGATAGATTCACAAAATCAGACGTAATTACGCTGCATGAACTCATTTTACTTAATTTAATACACAATGTTTGACAGTTACAGAATAGGTTAGATAATTTGAAATGTCGACAAATCCTCTATGTACGCTCGCGAATATAATTATGATAGACTTACTAATTAATATAATTCTATTTCTATACGATATAATCTTATAAAAAAATTTACGATTAATATTTTATACTCGTGTGAATTGCAAGATATATAAATATTGGTAGCACTTTGACAGAACTCTCGAAACTCCGGTGAAATGTCATTTGTATCTAAAGTAAAATGCGTTTGCTACCGAAGATATAAACGTGCCTTTAGGTTTATTCTTTTTAGTTGCATTGTCTACTCTTATTTCTTTTTTAGCGTCGTAAAACTATAAATTAATGCATGTTTTAAGAAAAAACATCGATAAACCATCATAAACGCAAGTTTTTAAATAAACTGTTTGTATACTAATTTTTCACTTTTGATTAAATAAAATTCAATTTGAAATATATAATTATTTATTATTAAAACAGAATTTTTCGATATTTTACAAATTATACAGATTGTAAATGTTTCACTGAAAAATCTTTGTGTTCACAAGAACGTTTATTATGTTTTCTTACTTTTGAAATAATTCAGATGGCTGCAATAAGCCAGCAAAAATTTTCACTAAAAAATTTTTTTTGTTTTTTAGAAAATAGAAAATAAAAAATACAAAATAGATAATAAATAACTATAATGATAATAAATAACTATAATGATAATAAATAACTATATATTTCAAATTAATCACATAATAATAAATTATTTTAACATTGTATAATTTATTTTAAAAGTTTATTACACAATAATACAAAGAATATTGACTTAAATTTAAAAATGTAAAATGTATGTTATAATAAAAAAAATTACGTTTAAAAAAAAACGGAGAAAAAAAGAGAGCATATCTAAAATATTTATTTGCAAATTATTTTATGAATAAAAAAATTAAATAAAAGAAATATCTTTATTTTTGAGACAATAGTGATATAACATTAAATATATAATAATAATGATGAAAATTTGAGGGTTCGAAAATAATGCAATATCTTCGCTAAATGTTCATTAAAGTTATTTATTTTAGATATTTAAGCTAATCAGATTAATACGAGCTCTTGTTGTATTAATATGTATAATCGTAAACAAAGTATCAATGCTGTAATATGTTATATCAACTTCAGTTTATTATATAAATTAATTCTGAAACAAATAGAAAATATACAGAATATAAGTTAAACTGAAAATAATATAACTATACAATCGTAAGTAAAAAAATTGCCAATTTCTTTGCGAAATTTTGTATTGCATAAAAGTCGTAAGATCGTCCTCACGACTTTTACGCAATTAGAAATTTATCAAGAAACAAAAATGTAAAAAACTTGCAATTTTTCTTTTCGATTTATGAGGGACAATAACTCTGTTCACTATTCTGTCTGTCAGCAGACATTTTTGTATCTATATAGCACACATATATCTATAATTAATTTGTTTACTATATTTAGCCTGAAACAGAATTATAATACAAGATACATACATCTCTCTCTCTCTCTCTCTCTCTCTCTCAGCCTCTCAGCTTTCTGTTTTTGTCTCATCTTGTTTTAAAACAATTTTAATATATTTGATAAGACTTGAAAACTGAGAAAAAAGATTTTACATTATTTTTAATGTTCGATAAAATTTGTTTGATTACAGAAAGCGCGTTAGATAACTTTTTCCATGTTTTTATCTTTTCAAAAATATTAATATACGTAATGATATTATTTTCAAACAATTCTCCAATTCCATGCATTAAACTACCAGTTTTATTATAATACGATTTCATCATTAATCATCTGGAGTTTCTTGCTGGCATCGGTTATGTTCCAAATTGTCGAAGTAATAATAATATTTTTTCTTACAAAAGTTTTCCCTTCAGTATCTCATAAACCATCTTGTTCCTAAAATATGGCATGTCATCTTGCGTAAACATTATCTTCTTGTTTGCACAAACATACTCGGCAAACATACAGGAAAATACACCACAATCGCTGCCGTTCATTTGTTGTGGAATATTTTTAGCAGATTGCAATTTCCAATCACTCATGTCGTAAGGTTGTTTCTTTTTGTCTAAACTCTCATCTTGTAAATATTGTTTTAAAGCTGCCAGACATTTTGGATTATTACCGCCCATACTATCATAATAAATAATAGATTTGTCTCGGAAGTCTACTATCGACATACACCAGTGAATATCCAAATGAATAGGCACAACCATAAGATCCTGCGCGAATATATCCACCTTCCTGGTCCATCGCTTTAGAGATGCATGACCACCTGACAGTAGTTTTGGATAAAAGAACGTATTCATTGCGTGTACTTTTGGATATTTGTCTGAAGACGTCCCTCTGGCAATCAATAGATTCATGTAAAAGTTTATCACTTCGTCGTTTAGCCAATTTAAATCTGCTAGAGTGTAGATATCCTTTCTCGTGATTCTCAGACCAAAACCTTCTGTGAGAACTTCGCCCGGGGGACGTGGTACAATAGCGTTTTTCACTTCTCGTAACATTTCATCAGTCAATGTTGGTAATGCCGGTTCCTCTTGTTCTTCTATAACATCCACAACTGATAGATATAATCTCACAGAACGTTCTAGCTGTTCTGCCAAAGCTGCCTCTCGTGCATATCGATTATGTTTCGACAAGATACATGTCATCTTTTTCAGTTCTTCGGCTTCTCTGTGTCGCTGTTCAATTCGCTCATTATACTTCTTGGTAACTTGCGGAATAAAATCTTGTCTCATGACCGCCTTTGCAGCTAGCTCATCACGTAAAGAGTTGGTTGCAGCGACTTTAACAGGTGATTTTGGTACAAGAATAGGTTTCACCGCACTACTAGTATTTGGTTTATCAATCGTAATTATTTTATTGGGTTGTATATATGTCGTGATATCCTTCTTATCACAATGGAAAGTAGGAATCCTTTTTTTGTCTACTTTAGTGTAATTTAACATCCCACTTCTATGACAGTGAGCCGACATCATCGTTTTAGATATATTGGTGATGTGTGATTGAATCTTGTGGTTGGGTGACACTATCTCTGGTTCCTTTTCTAGATCAATTATTTCTATGGATTTGCACGTAGGTGTATGTTCTACACGTTTGTCAGTTACTACTTGTACCCTATTTGGAAACAAATTTTGCAGCATTTCTTCATACTGGTATTTCTCTTTCAATTGATTTGTTTTGGATAATGTGGTAGATCTGTGACAGACATCCAACATTCCATATTTGTGATTGCAAAAATGCCCCATTGTTGATTTATTCTGATGTAACGAAGAACAGTTGGCCTTACAGCTGGGAGTCATAACTTTACAGAATTCATAAGCTTGAGATTGTTTTTTATGAGTACCATTCAACTGTGTACATGATCTTATTGGTGAACTTTTTTGTTCACCCAAATATATGATATCTTCATCATCGCTGTCATCAATTGCAAAATATTCTTCCATTGGATGTGCTATATCACAATTGGATTTAAATTTCTTAGGTGTTATATACTCTTCATCAAAATTGTCAGAAGCTTTCCGTTTCTTAGAACCTTTATCCACCAATCCAAAGACTCTCTTTAGAAAATTAAATATCATGGTCATTGTTAACACGTATATATATTTTGGCTATATTATTGTCCATTCAACATATGTTATTAATGTAGGTTGATCTAAAAATAAAAAAAAAATAAATTCTTTCATATAATTTGTAATTCTTGATACATTATGATTATAATTATATATAT